AAAAAAAAAAAAAAAGCGTCTTACATGAGAAGAAAAAAAAAAGCCTCAAATGAAAGAACAAGAGAATTCTCCAGAAGAAGAGCCAAATGAAATGGAGATAAGCAATCTATCAGATATAGAGTTCAGAATACTGATTGTAAGGATGCTCAACAGCATAAGGAAAGATATGGAAACTATGAAGGAATTAAGAATGACACAGCAAAAATAAAGAATACATTGGAAGGGATAAACAGCAGATTAGTGGAAGCTAAGTATCAGATCAATAAGTTAGAAGACAGGATGGAAAAAAGCACTCAATCAGAGACCAAAAAGAAAAAACAATTAAAAAACAGGATAGTTTAAGGAAGCTGTGGGACAACATAAAATGTAACAATATTTGCATCACAGGAATTCCAGAAGGTGAAGAAAGTGAGCAAGAGCTAGAGAACCTGTTTGAAGAAATAATAGCAGAAAACTTCCCTAAGCTGGTGAAGGAAAAAGTCACACAAGTTTAGGAGGCAGCCAACAACAAGGAATATGTAATCTTTTTAAGTACATACAGTCTATTTACCAATACTGACCACAAGTTAGGCCATAAAGCACATCTCAACAAATTTCAATGGTTTCAAATAATATAGAACATGCTTCTCAGACCACTGAGTAATTAAGCTAGAAATCAATAATAAATAAAAAAATTAGAAAGTCTCCATTTGTTGTGACTCATGACCCATATATCACAGAAGAAATCACAAGGGGAATCATAAAATATTCTTAACAAAATGGTAGTAAAGATATGATATATCCAAACTTTAGGTACATAACTACAGCTGCATTTAGAGAGAAATGTCTTACTATGCAAATACTTAACAAGGATAAATCCTGAAAATCAATGACCTAAGCTTCCAAGTCAATAAAAAATTTTAAATCAGCAAAATAAAGCCAAGAAAGTAAAATAAAGAACAGAAATCAATAATATGTAAAACAAACATACAACAGAGAGGATAAACAAAGTCAAATATTGTTCTTTGAAAAGACTAATGAAATTGGTAGAGACTCCTGCTACAACTGATGAGAGAAAGGCAAAATGACCACTATTAAGAATGTAACAAAGATATTATAAAGATCATAATTAGATATTACAATTTTAATTAAAATTTGAAAATATTAGATAAAATCAAAATTTTTCAAGGAAAGTACAATATACCAAACTGATATGAGATTTTTTTAAATGAAAAGAAAGCCTAAATAATCACTTTATATCTATGGAAGGAATTTAATCCATAGTTAAAAATCTTTCCACAAGAAAATTCCAGGTCTAAATGGCTTAACCAGTAAAGTCAATCAAACATTTAGAAAGAAGTAACACCAATCTGACACCAACTCTTTCAAATAATAGAGAAAAGGGTTAATAGAGAAAAGGGTATACATCTCAGTTCATTTTATGAAGCCAACATGACCTTGATAGCAAAATCTAAAAAGGACTTCATAAGAAAGGAAAATCTCTCTCATGAACAGAGAAGCAGAAATATTAAACATTAGCAAAAAAAAAAAAAAAAAAAAA